GGTCAGTTCCACTTTCGATTTACCGGCCGACACAACTGCCCTGTTCCCACACTCGACGGGCGCAGATTTGTCAATTGTTCCTTCGGCTAATTCATGAAAGACTTGTTCAGTAGCAAAATACTTGTTTTAGTATCGGCTACTGAACAACCACACCAATCTTTAAGAACGGCAAGTTGCCGTTTCAGCTTTAGAATTACAAAAACCAACTTGCAGACGACGAGTTTTCCACAACCGGAAATTAATAATATAAAACTAATTTTTGAAGCAGAAAACGGGGAAAAAATCCGGATTTCGTATTTTTCGTTTTTTTTCGCAAATAAAAAAAATTGGGGCGGGGCCTCAAAGAGGGGGCGGGCGGGGATGAGAATCTAGCAAATAATTTATTATGGCCTTATATAGAAACACATTAAACCTCATTAGACGCTAGATCTTATATAGAAACACATTAAACCTCATTAGACGCTAGTCGCTAGTGTTTTATTGGTTTCTTGTCGAGACCATTCTATTTCTGTTTATTTTATATCCTAATTGCGAGCATAACTTTAAAAGTACATTTCTCGCACGGAAACGAAGCAAAAATGCAGACAGTACATTTCAACGAGACAGGAAGTGACTGATCATGAAGCAAAGCTGATGCTTACTTTATTTACATCGAGGAAAATGTTGTACACACCGAGTTTTCCTTCTGGATGAAGATATTACATCTTTTCCATAAAAGAAAATGTTTTAAGTACGGGAATTTCCGGTGTACAGGCCATAAATATTCATTGCTTGGAGGAAAACCCTAAAACCGACCTTGGGTCCATGAAGGTTCAAAATGTTTGTTACAGTGCGTCGCCTAGTTCCTGTCTGAGTACAATAAATGCTGACTCATGACCGGATCTCTCCCTTTGTGCAGACCTTTAATAGTATCATTTAGAAACGCCATTCAAGACGTACACTTGCATGATATAAAAAATCATATTTTGCATACAAAATTAAGAAACCGTTCTAGTACTTTGTAAGTGATCTGTTTCGTGTTAACCTTATTGATTACCAACGTTGTATATGTGGCTTCCCTATAGAAGACACACACCATTTCTTTTTTTACCTGTGATAAATATAACGAACAAAGAATTAAGCTTTATCGTGAACTAAATGAATACATGCCTCTTAATTCAAATCTACTTTTATTTGGAGATACATCTCTTTCGAAACAGGAAATCATAACGATATTCATGCATACTCTGCAATACATTCGTGACTCTTAAATATTCCAGTTACAGACAGTCCCATTGTTACTAAATTATACAGACATGTTAACGGTCGATATATCACAACCTTTGACATTTACTTAAGTAAAAAACATGGTATCATTCTGTACAATGGTTGCCTTTGAGGTAGCTAGAAGCGTGGGCGACTTATGAACTCGTGTTCCTGTTTGTTAGAGACTGGCAAAAGATCGAGGTCAATTCACGATTCAAATGCCCCGATTAACAAATGGTTTAATATCATTAGGGTTCTACTTAACAATTCGTGTTAATGTTGATATGTACTTTTACAGAGGAAAAACTTTTTTTTTTGACAGAAAGACTCGAATATGAGACTACAGAGGGCCGACCAATTATTACATTTCCAAAACAGAATGAAAACAATATTTCAGTTTCATTTGTAATGTTCCATAACATATTAAGAACGACAGAAAGAACAAACCGGAAATTGACGACGGTAGTTAAGGTTAGAAGCGAGCGTTATTAGCCGGGAGTGCTAAATAGGTTATAGCAGACCATCGTGAGCTTTATGTACAAAATTGTCTTTGATCGTTTTTGATTGTCTATCAGACTTACTTTATGATTATGGGGAATCCATACAAACATCCAAGTAAACAGCCCGCATTACAGTTTAATCGAAAAACGTATCCGATAGATTCAGTAAACACATATAGAAATAACGTCAACGTATTTCAAGTCTACAGTGACATTCACGCAATAACAAGTTTTCACATAGAGTTTGGTTTACATCTCATTATCGTACAATAGATCATGACAACAATGTATGCAGGCGAAGATATGCATTTTCTATGAACGAGACGCAATTGTTTGACGTCATCAACAATGTAACATTTTTGATTAATATGCCATTACTATAAATAGTATGTATTTCCTATATTGACAGATACGTATAGTGGTTTTCCGTTTTATTTAGGTTATAGAGAGTGACAATCACTCTAGTCCCTGTTAACTTTTAAAAAGTGTAGACTTCGATGTGTATTGTGATGACCTTTACATTGACAGTGCACGTGCCGTTGTGCCAAAGATATGACGTCACTGCTATTTTCGTAAACGCCAATTCGTTGAATGGTTTTCGTATAAAAAAGATTATTAATGTTGTTATGATAATTATTAAAACATTAGCTGATGAAGAAACTCTAAATTGAAAAGGTTCTCGGGAAGAAGTTTCTGAAACTATTTTTTTGTGGCGCAGCGAGCTCCAAACAAAATGCATGTAATGCGTCCTTCCGTCAGTCATCGGTACAATTTATATAGAGGAGACGTGTCCAGAAAAATAGTGTTTCTCAAATTATATAATACATAGAATCTAACACTCGTGATCATGTAATTTTGAATCTATTAAACTCTTCGTTTATTAATTTCATATGAAATTAATAAACTCGTTCAATAAATTCAATATTACATGAACACTCGTGTCAGATCCTCTATTTAATGTATAGCGTTTGTAACCCAGTGCCTGTAATCTGCCTCAAATAAATTAACCGTCAGGAGACGCTTCAAGGGAAAACAACTTTCTTTCATAAATACCAAAATAGCAGGTTTTTTTTAACTCAGTAATACAACAATTATAAAAACAACATTTAATGCTTAGCTAATTATTTAAATCAAATTTCAATGGACGCGTAAGAGAGGCGGCACGTATAAACCCGGTTTAAGCCTCCACCGGTATAAGCATGTATGACAGACAAGTCAGGTCGACCGGTGATATTTCCTTTGTCTATAAACGCATTATCGAATAGGGGAATAATCTGAAACAGGACGGTTGACCTCTTTACTCAGATCAAATATGCGATCAAAAGAGATATTCTGAAGCGGGGACAACACATGCCGGGCGGCCTATCCGCCCTTGAAAACATCTCTGAAACTGTTTTCTTGGAACGAAATAAAGCCATAGTCTTTATCTCTGACGCCGTGTCTCCGCCCGATACGGGTGCTTCCCCGCGACACATGGATGATATGAAACATGTGCTCATCGGACATGTACGTGTTAGACACGTCCGTATCGGCCCCGATCACGCATACAATCTCGCTAAGTGACGCGATGTTGATTGTCACGTGAGATCTTCCGGAAGTCAATGCCAAGCATTACGTAACAAACTAGAAAAGAAACATGTCTGGCTATGTTCGCAGTAATCCGCTTTTGATACACATGAGTGATTTTGAAAATCAAGTTATGTTTTATTTCCGGTTAACACATGGAAACTAAAGCATGATATCGATTCATTTAATAACGCCATTATTGAATAATCTTTTAAATTTGTACAGCTCTGTGAACCCGTCCTCTGCAGTATTCACTATAAGCTGTAATGTTTTTCTACATCGTTGCGTGACATACTTATAAAGCATTTGTATTCCCCTAATTTGTAGACGAAAACACAGTCTGTTGACTGAACTACGTATACTCGTACACAATGTACCGTGTAAGCGATACAGATTAGGTGCTGTATGCATTATGTAACTTACTTGTACGCTTTTGCGACGTCACCGGAGTTTAAATTGACTTGTCCGCTGTCCGTGAAACTTTGACGTGTTGTTTCGCTCTGTAAGTAAAGAATATGACCGCTCTTAGCACGGAATGTGTTACTTCTATAAAGACTAAATGCATTACCATAGTCATGTATCACTATTTATGAAGAAACATGTATTTGTGATCGTTCATTGTCGTTTGTCTGTGTTGATCTAGCATACCTAGCGGACAGCACAGGGACCTGAGAATTTGCTACCGTTGATATGTTAATTAAGACCTGGAGTGATAAAGAGTAATGTTAGAAGTTTTAGAGGTTTAGGTCAATTCCTGGTTAAAATGACATCCTAATCGTACATACCAACATCGGGTGGCATTATCACCAATAATTGATCTTAGCCCCCAAATCGTCTAATATTTCTCTTTCCACATCAGGACAGGTGTAAACATGCCATCTGAGAAAAAATCCCCATGTCCCTGTGGCGGACAGAGGAAATACAAAATAAAGTACGACCGATCTTACTTCTGAGCCATATGTCAATATCATATTATACTAACAGTATTTACATAATGTACAATTCTGTCTCATTTCATGGTTCATACGATCTATAAAAGCTGAAACACGGTTTGTTTGTTTGTGTTTCACGTCTTTTCAACAGCTATGGTAAGTTAAAGACGTGCCAGGTTTTGGGTGATGAAGCTGCGACACTGCCCAACATAGGCCTGAACCCGCGAGCTAGCGGTGCTTAGTGATCGATTAGACGCCTTAATCACTCGGTCACCGCGGCCTGCCTGTGGTACGTTTGATAAAAATGTAATTGCAAATTATTCTGAAAGCTGGAGTTTGACAAAAAAAATTCGTTCAATTTAAAATTATTATCAAACTCCAAATTTTCATTATTGGTAATTTAAGGAAATGACGTTTATTACCCCTTTTTTTGAACAAAAAATGTTTAATTTGCAGTTTTCAATTTGTGAAGCAGGAAATAGCAGTCGAAGTTGAAGAGATTACTACGAAATATAATTAGATTAAATTGAATTTTCCACAATAAAATATAAAAGCATTATCTCTTTCTCGCTTTGATTCACCTACATATCTTTTCAGTCTTCTGTACACAGTAAGGAGCAATTTGACTGGCTGTTGATCTTTTATACACAGTAAGGAGCAATTTGATTAGCTGTTGATCTTTTATACACAGTAAGGAGCAATCTGATTAGCTGTTGATTCCCCTGATATGGAAATGCAGGTCATCCTACATGATCCTTTATGTCAGATCGTCATACGATAGTAGTGAGCTGTGGCACAGTGAACAATCTCTGATAATGGTAGTCAATGGGATCTTAGTAGGATACCTGCTTTGCTGGATCTCAACAGAAGTCCTGCTTTTGTCATGGCCTATTCGTATAAGTGGAGCAGTCGGTTTGCTATTTTTCATATGTAATCTTTCAGGGGAAACACTTCGCGAACCTGTTAACGTTAATGCAGGCATTGCTAGTTTTGCAAAGTCTCTGCAGAAAATAGTATAAAACCACTAAACGAATAACCCTGGTCCAACCGTTAAGAACGCGATTTCGAACGCGATAAACGAAAGCGGCCCTGGTGACAATTTTTGTATCTAAACAAATAGAAGTCATAGATTTGATTGGTAGACGGGTTGGTTTGGTTTTATTTTGTTTAATGTCCTATTAACAGCTAAGGTCATTGATCGACGTGCATCCATGTGTGTATATACAGGAGACAGGGTTTGTTGGTGTGCTTGGCTCCTTGTGATAGCGCGGATCTGATGCCGACTTTATAGTGCTATCTCACTTAAATACCATGCCGAAGGCACCCAGTACAGCATTCCGCCCGGTCACATTATACTGACAACGGGTGAACCAGTTGTTGCCATTTCCCTAAATGCTGAACGTTAAGGAGGGAATAACAACTACCATTTTTAAGGTCTTTTGTATGTCCCGGCCTGAGGACAGAACTCATTGCCTTCCTCACCCTGGCGAACGCTCAACATTAAGTCCAAAAGTGAGGTGTTGCAAAGCAATGCGCTAGGAAATAAAAGGTAGATAGAAGTAGAAAGAAAGATAAAAAGATTGGTTGACGGAATACATAACCGCATGTGAAACATTGCGGGCTCACGCCGATGAGTTAAACAAACTGTAGTTTCAAAAAAATAGACTATACAAAGGACCTATGAATACTATAGAATACTTATACTTAGAACTCTGTTGATTAGACTTGAAAACAAACACGTAACGATATGTTTTTAAGACATGAAATATCGTTTCCTCATTGAAATCTCAACGTCTCAAAGAGCTATGGCGGAAAACTGCCCATATTTCCCTAAGTCGGCATTTATGAAAACGGAAAAATATTAATCAGTCAATAATATCTAGCAGCGCAAATGCATAATAGATATAAAACAAATTTTTGTTTTTAATATTTAGGCATGTGATCTTTTTCCTTAATTTATCAATAAGATATTTTCAAATCAATGGTACATTTTATTTATATTTTAATTACATTCCTATTGATTTATCTTTTACGGAATCATGTCAACACATCACTGTACACGTGTACAGTACAGCTACGTTTTATAGATAAGACATCATCTTACAAGATATTTATGAACTTACCCTCGAATTGACACTAGTAATTATTAACAAGAAATCACCCTGTTTAAAAAAATTCAATTTTGCGTATTCAGCGTCTAAAATACGTCGTGTGCTAACTCCTGTGCTCCAGCCAATATGTCTGACAGCGATGTCGCGGACGTATCCCTAAAATATGGAATGACTGTAGTTTTGAATCAAGGCACATCATGTTTATGTCGGGCCATCGAAACGTGTCTGCTATTAGATTCTACAACAGGTCCTTTTCAACAGAACAGAATAATTTGCTGTCCTCTACACTAGCGTCCGTTGCAAGTGGCGAAGCAGGTCAAATCGTCCCGGCTCATCAGCCAGTCACCTCATCGACAGTAACACATGTCGAATGATCAAAGGATGAGCTATTCCTGCTGACTTTTTGCAACTAGGCATTTTTGTTTCAAATGAGGATCTATTGTCAATTTTCAGATGATCAATGCTTGTTACACATGCTGGTAATATAAATTAAATTATTAAAAATATCCGAAGTGGAACTATTTTTATATTGCTCAAATGTGTATTTCGTCACCGTTCTTTCCCGCGAAAAAGGCTGTTCGATTAATGTTTTTTTCATGACGGTGTTTTGCTTTTTTACGTGAAAACCCCCCATTTTTTCTTAATTTCAAATAATAAAAATGGATAGAATAGAACGTACAGTGTAAATATAAATTATTATAAAAATATAAATGTTATAATATCTTTTTAACATTTATGAGAGTATGCACCAAACGGAACTGTGTTGCATACTCTCATAAATGTTAAAAAGATGCATTTCAAACCTTAGATACAGTGTATTAATTGGAAATTGTACAGTATTGTATTGTGAAACCGCTCAAATGCACGTGCAATCGTGCTTGCATTTCTGGAAGTGCATTCATTTCGACCAATGGGAACAACCCTTATAACACAGACATGGTATAATTCAAAAGAGCTCTCACATCCGAATCTGCGAGGAAATAAAAAAAGATCAAACGTAATTATACCAAAGAAAATTAGACAAAAACACTCCTCATAATTGATAACAATGCCATAGATATCTAAAATGTACATACAGAATACAATCAGGATTATAGAAACTAATAACCGGAACTGACAGGACCAAAGTAAACGTCATATCAACAAGTGTGAATAATTGAAACAGTGTGTCTTACTGCACGTGATGTCAACACATGGCCTTACACTTGTTGACATTGAATATGAATGACGCCCGCAGTAATTGTATAACTAGTATATATACTGTGACAGCTAGTGATGGATTTTCATTTTACTGGTGTGTATTTACATGGACGTTTCCAATTAACATCATGGTGGTGCAGCAGTATGATATTAAGACATGACACGTTTTCAGCGCACACTGGTGGCATGGAAACGAAGAACGACTATTGCGACGCCCCCTGGTGGCCGATTAAGGAGTATGGCAACGTCAACTGTCGGTTGTATTGTTACTTAGGGGATAACTTTACATTATTTTGAGAATGGTGGCGTCATATCGTCATAATACCGTCACAAATTGAGTTTTCCTGGCGACGCGGTAGGGAAACAGTAGCTTCATTAGCACTATATCCCAATTCTTATTCATATCATCTAAAACTACCGAAATAAACAACAATTTTAGGTAATTCTTAGGCTTTTTGTTTTTCAATATATGGTTCACTTCGTGTGTAGATAAGGACCATAAGTAACATTCAAATTAAACCAGAAATGCATGGACCTTTTGTGTTAATGTTCACAAGATACAAGATACATGTACAAGAATGTATTTGTACAAGAATGTTTATTAAATGACAAATATGGTTAAATTTGAGCATAGACTATTAGTATCTTATATTTCGAAACACGAATTAAGAAACGGAAAAACGAAGCAACGGGTAGCGGTACAAGACAAGAACACACCCTACAAGACCTAAAATTACAGAATTTGGAACTCTTCGATGCCGCAATGCGGAAAAGGCGACATGATGAAACTAAAACCTTTTATTATATATTTACCGTACATGTTAAAAAGATGTGATTAATTTTTCTGCGCAATCATTCTTTGCAAATATGGGATATGCTAAATCTGGCTGGCTAATTTGTTTTCGTCTAAAAAAAAGGGGAAAAATGATATTTTCAAAATTGTGGCCAGTACAAACGCGTTTTCATGGTTTCTGAGCTTATTCTGGTTGTTGGAAAGAGAGAAAAATACTCTTTCATGCCCAAGGGTGTATGAAAGTTTTATTTGAAATTCCACCTTCGGAATTTTAAAATTCAAAAAAGCCGTGGGTTTTGCCAAATTTGAAAATCTCGCGGGTTTATTTTCTGTATCCTAAATCCATGGACATGAAAGAGTCTCATAGCATAGCACTACGAAAATGAAGCTAAAACAAGCACACAGCCCTGGTGAAAATTAGCACTAAAAGCAAAAGAAGATATACAACAATGCCATACAAGCTT